CGTTATATGTCTGAGGCCAGGTTTGAATTCAGGTCCTCCTGACTCCAGGGCCAGTGCTTTATCCACTGCACCACCTAGAGGGACATTTTTAAGAGTTGTTTCAAAGTAAGACTCAAAGGACTGAATGTGGTGTGATGGTAAAGAGAGTATTTGGTTTTGAATCAGATTTGGTTTACCTCTTGCCTCTGCCACGATATAACTTTGGACAAGTCAGCTGACCTCTCTGAGCCTCAGTTTCCTCATCTGTCAAATGAGAGGGTCAGACTAGACAGTTTCTAAGATCTCTTCCAGTTCTAAAATCCTAGGCTCCCCCATGCCAGATGGTTCCTGTTGAGTGTGAATATACCTGATGTACGATGCCAGGACCAGATTGGAAAGCAGCAAACCTCAGCCCTGCCCAGCATCCCCAGTTAGGACCAGCCTACTCAAGGCCCAGTCTAGTCCGGCCCCTCTAGTTCAGCCCTTTGAGAAGGGAAGGGGACAAAAGATAAAGGAAGAGATGGACACATGACTGCTGCCTACCATTGGGGCAAAGTAGGTCAGAGTCACTCACATGATTCCCTACTCCTCACCCCACCCCTTGTCGGTACAGTATACTCAGTGTTCGAGCCTCCACAGGATTTCCCATTAGTGGGAACCTTAGAATGCTGAGGGTGTCAGACTTTTTCCAATCTAATTCTTTACTTTCATAAAGATGTCACCAGGTACTTGTTTCCCATTGGAAATTCTATCAAAGACAGGATACTGGGCCAGTCATTCATAGTATCATTTTATTATTTTTGCTATTGTTATAAAAACAACAACTACGTGGGTGCTTTAAGTTATCCAATGGCTTACCAAGCTGCAAGCACAACTGTGGAGATTTTCATGCAAACAGATTAAATGTTATAGTTCTCCCCATTCATTCCTGTTCCCCTCCCCTGCTACCCCCAAACCTCTAAATGTATAAATGAGGGAAACACGTTCAACAAAAAGCTTTTATAAGAAATGAATGGAATAAACAAGCAAGTGAACAAAAAAGACACAGAAGACCAGTCATCTGGAACAGGAGAGGACAGAGTAATGATGTCATGATGTCATTTGGAGGTCCCATGATCTAACTGGGGAGGGTTAATTAAGACAACACACTCTTCACCAATGTGTTTTCTAAGTACGCTGGTCTGGCACTGTGCCCAGAAGACTTCATTTTTTAATAGAAGTAGAAATAGAACGGATAGGCAAACTCAGAGTCAGCTTGGTACAGTGGATAGAGGCTGGCCTTGGGAGTAAGGAACACTTGGGTTCAAGACTCCCTCTGACCCCAAGTAGCTGTATGACTCTGGGCAAGTCCCTCAGAAGCCCAGATGACCCTCCAGAGAAGGTGCTGACTGGTGCTGATGGAGGGAATTTCTGACCTTCACCAATGCAAACTGATGGAAGTAGAGCCCTATCCTGATGAAATCACAGGCTGGACTAAAATATGTATGTTTATAATATGTGCAAACATGTTCAGTGTAAATTCACACTCTTTAAGGTTTCCAAAGAGTTAATTCAGCACAGCTCAGTGAGGTTAGAGATGAGGGAACCAAAGCTCAGATAGGTTAAATGATTTGTCCACAGTTATTAGCAAGTCAGGCTGGGACTTCAACCCCAGAGCAATTTCCCCTACACCACCTTACCTTTCATCATAGAGTCATAGTATGTTAGTGCTGGGAGAGACTTTCAAGGTCATCTAGTCCAAGCCCCTCATTTTACAGCTGCTTCTGAGGTCTTCCAACTCATCAACCAGCCCAAGGTCACATACCTCATACCACGCAGAACCAGGATTAGAACCCATGTCTCTTGCTTCCTAGTCAAGCAATATTTCTGCAATGCTGCTGCAGGTTTCCCCATGACAAAATATGAAATGTTAACATGTGCAATTACTAAAAAATACAGGACCCCAGATCTGTGATCTTTCTCCCATCATTATAGATAATGTGGCTCATTTATCAGTCAAGAATGGATATCTTTCAGCCAGAGTTCTAATGTTCTGCTAAGTCTTTGCAGATCACTTAATCATATGGAGAACCTTATTTTAAAATCACTTGAAAATCTAAAGTACTTTTTCACCTCAAAAAATTACAAAGAGGGTGTTTCCAATCCATTTCTATAATTTTATTAGGCCATCCACTTTCCCCAAGACAAATGATTCCTTTCTATTTTGGCTGCTAAGAAATGAAGACGCCTACATCTAACTTCTTGGCACATCTACAATCACTGAATTGAAGATTTTTTTTAACTAGAAGGAACCTAAGATTTTGTCTAATTTAACCCTTTCATTTTACACATGAGGAAACTGAGTCCCGGGGAAATGAAGCCACTTTCCCAAGGTCACAGAGCACAGAATTTGTCTGATCAGAACTCTAACTAGAAACTTTTGTAACTGGGATAGTACAAACCACACCCAGAGCAAGCAGCAAGTAAAACTTTCAAAGCCTGAAAAGGGGAGGAGTTGACCTAGGGAGCAGCTGTTGGGAAGAAGAAGTGGGCCACTAGGCAGCTTCTTGTTTTAACTAAGTCTTCTTGCTGAGTAATAAACTCTGATGTTCCTACCCTTCAGAAAGGTAGGAAGTGCTTTCAGAGTCCTTGAAATTTGGCACCCTATGGCAAAGGCCCAACTGCCCCATCCTAGTTACAACTGTTTCTGTTCTCCAGCCAAAGGGTTTTTCCAATGGGTTATGCTTCTCCCCAGCTGCCTGATTTCAAAGGTATACCAACTTAGGTCAACTTTGAGACAAGGGAATCTTCTATATTTTTTAAAGGAGGCTACCAAAAACATTTCACCTTCTTCATTCAAAGAAAACTTTGTGTACCTGTGTGCCTGGCTGATATAAAAAGAAGGCAAAAGATTGAGGCAGTATGATGTTCCAAAAAGAGCCCCAGATTTGGGGTCAGCTGGGTCTCGGTTCAGATCCTGGTTCGCAGAATTTAAAACAGGAGGGGATTTTAGAAATTCCCCAGTCATGAGAGCGCAGATGGAAAGCCAGAGAGGACATCAGTGGCCACATGGGCCAAACCCTTTATTTTACAGAAGAGGAAATTGAGGCCCAGAAGCAATTTGCCCAAGGTAATATAGAGAATAAGTATCAGAGTTGGCATTCAAACCCAGGCCCTCTGAAGGCTCTACATGCAGCATTCAATCCACTCCCCCAAACTGCATCCCATAATCTCCTTTTGAGTACAGGAAGTTGAGGCCCAGGATTTGAATCCAACCCAGGGCCATTCCTACTATACCACATCTATTCATAGACTACAAGTCCTTGATCAAATTTCAAGCAATCACAGAATCATAGAATCACAGAATTCAAGAGTTAGAAGGGACCTCCATAGACATCTAGTCCAACTCATACTTAAAGGGGATTCCCCATGATAACAAAACTAAGAGAAGTTAGGAGCCTTGTCAGATCTGCAACTTGAAGTAGTGAACCAATCAACAAGCGTTTATCAACCACCAACTAATACCAGGTGCTGTACTAGGCACTGGGACACAAAGACAGAAAATAAGATCATCCCTGCCCTCAGAGAGCTTACATTCTATCACTGAGAAGTTAGCTATTCACTTCCCTGGATCAAATTCCTCTCTCTCATCATTACATTAATTGCTGAGGTCTGATCTATTGTTCAGTTTCTCTATGTATCCCCAGAGTAAACATTTAATGTTTGTTGAATTGAATTGAATTAGATTGAAGGGAGTGTTCTGTGCCCATCAATAAAAGTGAGTCCTGGAAGTAAGGACTGAGACACTGTTGGAATGAATGAATTTTCTTGATTAAAATAAAAAGGAAGAAGAGAAAGTGAAGAATGAAGAGTCTTCAGACAGCAACAGCAACATGGTTGCTCACCTCTCTGAGTCACAGCTACCTTACCTAAGAGGTGAAGGAGCTGTCCAAGGTCCTTTCTGGTCCTAAGATGCTTTGAAGTCAATTCCATGAAACACACTATGTTGAAAACAGGATGTATCATGGAAAAGTCTTGGAGATGGAGTCAGGAGACCCCAAAGATCAAATCCCACCTCCACCACTCACCAACTGTGTGATCATGGTTAAGCCACTTAAATCCTCTGAGCCCATAGGTTGAGGTCAGAGTCATAACTTTAGACAGAATTCACAACTGGCAAAGCCAAAGCTAGAGCCCAAGTTTCCTGACTCCCTAGTCCAATTCTCTCTTCCTTACTCTAATGCCGCAACCTCATGCCTTTGTCCCAAGATCTTTGAGGAACAGCATGGTGGATTTGGAGTCAGAGAGAGACCTGAAATCAAATCTTCCCTCAGACATTTACTAGTCATGTTATACCGGCCAAGTTAACTGCTCTAAGTTTCCTCATTGATAAAAAGGAAGTAATAAGAGCACCTACCTAACAGGGCTATATAAAGGTAAGCTATAGTGCAGGCAGTATTAATGGAAGGCACAATTTCAGGAGACCTGGGATTAGTTCCTGACTCTAACACTAGCTGTGTGATCCTGGGTAAATCACTTACCCTCTCTGTGCTTTAGTTTTTTCATCTGTAAGATGAATATAATAATATTTCTCTCTCCAGCTCAAAATCCACAATCCTATAATCACATCACAGGATTTCCAGGAGGAAGGCATTTTGTTAAGCTGTTATTATTCTAAAAGGAATATTCAATAAAGTACCAGAGAAGGTCCAAGTTTAGTACTCTGCACTGCCTCAGTTGCCATGGTCAGCCTAGTGTGACATCCCTATAGATAGAAAGAGCACTGGACTGGGAGGTCAGAAAACCTAGGATCCAGCCCTGTCACTCCCATTAAGGAGCTAGGTGATCTTGACAAGTCACCTAACTTGTCTGTGCCTCATTTTCCTCAGCTATAAAATGAGGGAGTTAAGCAGGAGGATTGAAGTCAACAGATATTTAATCAGTGGGAGAATCAAACTTGTTTCAGCAACAGAAGACACTCTTTGAAGGCATAACCATCAACCTGTAGCTTGTGGCTATCCAAGGCAGCTTGGCAGGCTCACCTGGAGGGATCTGGGGTCCCGGTGAAGTAGTGGATGCATGGTGAACTCCCTCCCTGGGGCAGGACAGACACGATGCTGGCAGTAGTGAGGAATGAGTCAGAATCTACACACACTCCACTGGCTTTATCCCGCAAAATGTTCATCATGGTTTGCACAGTGATGCTCTCTGTCAAGAGAGAAAGAAAAGAAAGGGAGGGAAGAAAGGAAAGAAGGAAGGAAGTAAGGAAGGGAAGGAGGGAGGGAGGGAGGAAGGGAGGAAGGAAGGAAGGAAAGGAAGGAAAGAGGAAAGAGGGAGGGAGAGAGGAAGGAAGCAAGGAAGGAGGGAGAGAGGGAGAAAGAATAAGATATAGATGAATACATCTCCAGGGGAAGACATACCAACTATTGCTTGTCTATACTATACCCACAAAAACATACACAGTAAGGTCAATGTCTGACAAGTGGTCTGCATGAACACAGGAGCCTAGATTGTGTGGCGGTAAGGCTGGCTGTCTGCTATCTAATCAGACAATCAACAAGCACTGATTAAGTGACTCCTCTGGGCCAGGTACAGGGAATACTAAGACAGAAATGAAATGGTCCCTGCCCTCAGGGAGTTTATATTCTATAAGGCAAGACAATATATACTAAGGACTCTTCACCTGGGTCCATGAACTTATATTTTTAATATTTTAATAGCTATGTTTCAATATAGTTAGTTGCCTTTATACTCCTATGAATTCAATTATAAGCATCTAAAAACATGATTCTGAGAAGGGATCCATAAACTTCAACAAATTGCCAAAGGGAGGGTCCATGACACCACAAACGGCTAAGAAACCCTGACATATGCATGTGTAAGTATATAAACATATAAATAAAGTTGCTTTTTCCTGAGGGAATTGGTGCTAGCAGTTGGGAGAAATAAGGAAAGCGCTCATTTAAGAGATAGCATTGGGGGGAGCTTTGAAGGAAGCCTGGGACTGGGAGTGAAAATGAGGAGGGAATCATTCCAGGCTTGAGGAGGTAGTAAGTGCAAGAGACAGGAGGTGGAGGGTCACGTGTGAGGAATAGAAAGGACACTTGGCTGGACCATAGATTGTGAGAAGGAGAGTAAGAAATAATAAATAAATCAGTAATAGACAATAAATTAAAATAATAAGCCTGGAAAGGTGGGTTGGAACTAGGTTGTTAAGGGCTTTAAATGTCAGACAAATGTATATCTAATCCTTAGAAGTAATAGGGAGCCACTGGAGATTATTGATCAGGGGAGTGACATGGTCAGAGGTCCAAGGGACAGCATGGCCAAGTTCAGAGAGCCCTTTACCAAGTTGGCCAAAGGGAATTAATTTCCAGTCATAACATCTCTCAATGGCTGGCTACCAAGTAGAAGAGGGATTGTGATCTGTGTTAAAAGAAGAAGAATCCACAGCAGAGAGTCCTAACTTTTTGTGTGTCCTGGACCCCTTTGGTAGTCTGGTGAAACTCATGGACCTCTTTTCAGAATAATGTATTTAAATAATTGAAGTAAATGCTAAATTTCAATCAGAAGTTAGTGAAAATACAACAGGACTAATGTGGAAATGTTTTAACATGATTGCATATGTATAACCTACATCAGATTGTTTACTATCTCGGGAGGAGGGAGGGGAGAGAGAGAGAAAAAAATTTGGAACTCAAAATCTTATTAAAATGCATGTTGAAAACTATCTTTACATGTAATTGGAAAAAATAAAATATTATTAAGTGAGAAAAAAAAGAAATTAGTGAAAATAAAGATGTCATTTGTTTCCCACTCTAGTTCATGGGCCCCCTGAATTCTGTCTTTGGATGTGTGGGGCCCAGGTTAAAAGCCCCTCCCCTACAGCAAAGAGACCATGGATCCTGGAGCACGAGAACACCCAATGCCGGAAACAAAAGAAGTCTCGTTAATAGCAATAGCTTGTTGACATTTCTGTGGTGCTTCAAAGCACTTTCCCTGTCATGGCTTATTATCAAACCCATTTAAGAGCTGGAGGAACTGAGGCTTGAAGAGGCAAAGTCACTTGTCTAGGGTCATGAATTTGAAGTGGGATTCAAACCGAGGTCTCCTGACCCCAAGTGCAGCCTTCTTTCTGCTTGGCCTCTCAGTATATTGTGGAGAAGCACTGGCTGTGGAGTCCCAAGGCTGTTAACACAGCAGGCAGACTCAATGAAATTTCCCAGGAGCAGAGATTTAGAGCTGGGAGGGGCTTTAGAGCCCAGCGAGCCCAACCTCCTTTTTTACAGATGATGAAATGGAGCCTGATTTGACCAAGGTCATACAGGTACAATGGGGAACAGAGATGGGATCTGAACCCAGGTCTCCTGACTCCTGAGTCAGGGCTCATTCCACCTTGATTTTCTCATTTTCATCATAATTCTTCCTGATAGGGAGCAGTGGAAAAGTGAAGGCTTCCAGTCAGGTGACCTGAATTCGCATTGGAGTTCTCATACGTCACCTTATTACTCCAACCTTCAGTTCCTTCATTTATAAGATTAGGAAGGACGGGGTTAAATTAAATCATCTCCAATATCATTTTGAACTTGAAATCCTGGGACAAATAGGCTCGGAATAACTAGGTCAGTAGCTTAGAAGATAATAGAGAGTGGAAGAGTTTGGCAATAGAAGTGTGAACAGAAGCACAATTCATGGTTTCCCCTACGTCAGCTTCAGCAAGGAGTTCCGTACTTAAAGTCCATTCTGCCTGCTTCCTTTTATTCACTTAGCCAGTCCAGCATTTATTAAGCACTTATTTAGCACTGTCAGCCGCTGTGCTAGTCCTGGGGATACAAAGAAAGGCAAAAACACAGTCCTGTCCTCAAAGTGCTCACTATGTAAGTACAAGCGTATACAACGTAAATGAAAGATGACGTTGAAGGAAAGGGAAAAGTCTGGGGAGGGAAGACTGGGCAAGGTCCAGGGAAGAAAGTGGGATTCAAGCTGAGTCTTGAAGGAAACCAGGGAAGTGAGTGAGGCTTACTTACTGGTATATTGCCCAACAAATGAGAAAGAGATGCTTAAAGGGTGCCTTTACTTACCCTCTTGTTTTTCTAGGCTGTCTTTGCCTGAACAGCAGCCCAGGTGGTCATCTGCTTGAGAAAACACTTCTGAGAAATTGAACTCTTGGTCGGTAGTCCACCAGCCTTGACCTTCGGCATAACTCCTGAGCTCGGGGTGCTCTGCATCGATCTTGGATGTGATGGAAAGCTGGTTACAAATGCACTTCACTCCCTCTACAGAAAGAGTGAACTTTGCATTAGTTCAACATATACCTCAGAGGAAGCCATTAGAACCTGAGAACTCCCATTGCCCTCCCGTGATGGTGCTTAATGATGGGAAGAAAGCAAAACTAGAATGTGTTAAATTGGGTGGATATGAAAACAGACACCATCTTGCCCTGTTTCTGGGTAAACTCCATTAACCAACACAACAGGAAAACTAGCCAACCCTGACCAAAGAGTGTGATGGAGTGAATAGATAATGCTTAACTGAGCTTAAATTTGCAATTAAAGAAAAATATGTGAGGCCCCTCCACCATCTGGCTGAAGGACAGCTAGGCATTTATTACCCTCAGAAAGGCAGAAAATCCCTTCCAAGAGAGATGCTTGGCTATCACTGGCATTTAGGATGGTAAAATTTAAGGAAGCCACTTGTGGGCTTTTGTTACACACACACACACACACACACACACACACACACACACACGAGAAAGAAATTCAGACCTGGAAAGGTGATGACAAAGATCAGAGGATTGATGAGGAACCCATGAGGAAACTGAGGCCTGGAAGGCTAAGTCATTTATTTGCTCCACATCACACAGGCTCTAATCTTTAGAGGTGGGATATGAACCTATGTCATAAGGTGCTACTTCTAGAGCTAAAAGAGACCTCTAGGCCATCTTGTCCAGGCCAGCTGTCTCATTTTACAGAGGAAGAAACTGAGGCACAGAAGACTTAAAGGATTTGCTCATGATCACACTGCTACTAAATAGCAGTGGTGGGGTTTGCACTGAGTAAAGACTGACGCTGTCTTACAGCTTACCTCCTTTGCCATGCCATGACTCATCAGTATTAACAACACGAACTCATTTTAAAAGTTGCTTGTAAATCATGGTCTGCATGTTCTACACAGTACACTGTGATGTAGTATCTGAGAGTCCCTCCCATAAGAAAAACAAATGAAGTCCAGCAAAATCAGCATCAAAATGCACCCAGACCCTGAGTTTCCTGCCCTGTGTATGACTGGACAGCAAGGTCTCATAACATCCACAAAGCAGAGAGAACAGGCTTGTTGTGCCCATCTCTGCACCTCAGAACTCAACATACCCATGAGCTGAATTAGGCTTGGGTCTACGAGACACTCTCTAGGGTCAATATATGGAAAAGGCTGCCTGTGAGAGGTGATTGCTAGCTAGAAACTGTGGTTGGAGTAGGGGTGGTCTTATTTGCTGCCCACAAAGAGCGGTAGATGAGGAAAAACTTAGAATCATAGGCTACAATCAAACAGTTAATTTCCTGAAAATGGAACTGAAGGCTGGAACCAGGGCCACTGATGTATTGGCTTCTCCTCCATTGTGTTTCCCTGCGCTCACTTCCCAAATGAAGACAACTGGCTGCTCACAAGAGCTGGCCTCTCTTTGCCTTTTATCATCATAGAGGAAAGTAGAAGATAGAAATTAAAAAAAAAAGTGAACTCTCTGTCCTGCACCAGTGATTTCCATACAATTCATGCTAAGCTGCTGAGAAAGCCCCAACTCGCCAGCAAGCACTGAGATTTTTCTTTCTTAACTGGGCTGATTCAAAAAGGCTATTTCTTTAAGTATGCTTAGCGGCTGCCAGACTTGAATCTGTAATCAGACTTCCCGCAATCAGCCAGTAAAAGCAGCAGCTGCACAATTTTTAAAATGTCAGTGTTTTTTTGAAATTAAAAGCAGATCTATGGAGGAGGGAGGGAGATGGGTTTTTAGTTGAATTCCATTGCAAATAAACTTCTGGAATAGAGACACCCATCATAGAGTTCTGCATAAATACCGTGTAATTACAGTGCAGAGCTGACATCCCCATCCCCATCAGGCCTTGGCCCTGATAAGATCTTTTGGCAAAGAAGTTTTTAGGAATTATATCACACCAGGCTTTGAAACCACTCAGAAGTCTTTCTCCAAGGCTCAGCAGAGGAGACACCTCCTCCAGGAAGTCTTTCTTGATTCGATTACTTGTTAATTCTCTATCCCTCCTCTAATTGTTATTATGTATATACTATATGTTATGTGTGTGTGTGTGTGTGTGTGTATATATATATATATATATATATACACATATACATATATAAAACAGGCAGCTAGGTGGTGCAATGGATAAAGCACCAGGCCTGGAGTGAGAAAGACTCACTTTTGTGAGTTCAAATCCAGCCTCAGACACTTACTAGTCGTGTGACCCGGGGCAAGTCACTTAACCTTGTTTGCCTCAGTTTCCTCATCTGTAAAGTCAGCCGGAGAAGGAAGTAACCAAACCATTTCAGTATGTCTGCCAAGAAAACTGCAAACGGGGTTATGAAGAGTTGGACAAGACTGAAACAACTGAGCAACAACAATATATACTTATTTGATTACATAACACACCACACACACACACACACACACACACACACACACATACACATACACACACACACAGAGGAAAATGTAAGTTTTGTCTTTGCATCCCCAGTGCTTAGAGGTGAGGCAGAAGGCAGAGCCGGAGCATTTGGGTTCAAATCCCACTTTGGATGCTTCCTATCACTGTAACTTTGGGCATGGCCCTTAATTTCCCTGGGACTCAGTTTCCTCATATGTAAAATGATGGTACTGGACTAGATAAACCTCTTCCAGCTCTAGGGTTATGGTGCTACGATTTTCTGGCATATTAGTTACTTAATAAATCCTTCTTAGAAAGTAGATCTCCATCAAATGAGGGAAAGGTCAAATGAGCTGTGATACAAGAATGCAATGAATAGTATATTCTGTGCTGTAAGAAATGATAAATATGGTGACTACAGAGAAGCAAAGGAAGACATAGAAACTGATGCAAAGTGAAGTCTGCAGAACCAAGAAACTGATATACGCAATGGCTACAATGACATAAATTTAACAACCAACAACCAAACAATAAAACAGAAAGCTGTGAGATTGCAATGGCCAAGCTTGGCCCTGGAGTGACTGGAGGAGACACCTGCCTGTGCTATTCTGCAGATGAGGGAATCTATAAGTGTGTAACATGGCAGATAATGCCAGACTTTTTCTATTGGCTAGTTTTGTTGAACTGGTTTTTTTCCCACTCTTTTTTACTCTTAAAGGGGTTGGCTCTCTGGGGAGGGCACGGTTGCATTGAGAAATATGGGTGGCATAAAAACAAAAAGTATTAATAAAACTTTATTTAACAATAAAAATAAATGCTTGATGGATTGAGGTAGATTAGAATGTTATTAGGTTGAGCAGATTTTATGTGTTATTGGAGTTCTTTTTTTAATACTCCAATAACTCTGGTTCCCAAAAAACACTCTTATATTGAACCGATTTTTTAAAAAGCCTCAAGATCAGCAGTCTGTTGGTGGGTCTAATCTGGAATGAGCCAGGCTTCCATTCCAGAGTCTCTGAGGGCCCCAAGCACCGTGCTGAGGGTAAAGGTTTTGAACTAGCAGTCTATGAATGAACTTAATGCCCTGCTTGCAGTTCTAGATTGGTCCTGGAGATGTGGAGAATTGAAATATAAAATACTGGGTACCAAATACCCCTTGGGGAGATTTTGTAGGAGTTTCACCAAATCTGGTTTTTTCCAGCTCTCTGGAACCCTGTAGAGTGTCTCTGTCCCCAGCTGGGATCAAGCACTGTCCAGACAGAAGAACCACAGAGTAGGAATTGATTTTACCAGGTACATCCTCTTACTTTTTCTCCTGAAGCAACACAGTAGAGAGTCAAGAGTACTGCTTTCCCACAAATTTGCTAAAGCTGAACAAAGTCAAACTGCACCCTGTGATATCACAGATCACCAAGTAGAATAAAAAGGCCCCAGACTGTCACATTGCAGAATTGCAAGGGTACCATCCCCCCAAAGCTGGTTCATCTGGTTGGATGGAGTGATGATGATGTTGTTTCATCTGTGGACCCAGGGGAAGGGAGGGGTGCAGTCCAAAGACCAGGACACTTACAAGGAAAAAACCCAAGTTTTACCTCCTATGAAGCGAGCCTACTGCACCTGGGCTCCAGGTACATCATTAGTCTAATGAGGAAGCAGAGACCTTGGCAGGTGACAGAGAGCTAAGCAGAAGAGGGTGAGTGCACAGAGAGGAAGCAAAGTCTCCCAGGTGCCAGCTGCACCATCCCCTTCCTCATCCTCATCAACTCCCATCAACCAAACTCGCCAACCTGTGATTTTTTCAGCTGCCCAGTGTTTCCCTATGGTCTCTAACACCCAGGCTTCTTCTCGATCCACAATCAGGTATGCGCTTTGGAAAGTGTGGCACAAGTTCCCGTCTTCATAGTAATTTCCGCCTTGCCCGTGCTCTTCCAGCAAGGAGACGATGACGTCAAAGGCCTCTTTGGCGGTGGCACCCCTTTCTAGACCCAGCCTGAAACAGAAAGAAAAAGTAGAATCCGAGTCTTTTTAATCCACTTTGAGATCATTGTAACAATCAGAACCTGTTTAAACACCAATAATAATGACTAACATTATTAACCGTTAATAACTAACAACTACTAATAAATAATAACAGCTAACATTTACATATAGCATTTTAAGATTTGCAAAGTACTTTGCATGAATTTTCCCATCTGATCCTGGCACCTACCTTGTGAGGTAATTGTTTTATCATCCTCATTTTACAGATGAGGAAACTGAGGCAAATAAAAGTTAAGCAACTTGCCCCCAAGTTACAGCTAGCGAGCGTCTGAGGCAGGATTTAAACTCAAGTCTTCCTGACTCCACGGTCAGCTCCCCATCCACTCTGCCCCCCTGTCACTCACCCGGCACATAGGAGGGGATTAATAAATGCTTGTTAATTGACTGACTACAGCACTAGATGGGCATCTGGAAGACCTAGGTCCAAATCCCACCCTGACCCTCACAAAGCATGTGACCCAGACCACTGGGGCATCACTGAACCTCTTTGAGCCTCGGTGTTCTCATCTTTAAAATGGGGATGATGACACTTGAAGTGCCTGTCTGACAAGGTTGTTCAGGCTCAAATGTATCTAAAATAATTTGCAAGTTTTACAGTAGTAATATGTTATTAATATAAAATTTTAAAAAATCTCCTATGCTTTCACTGAAAGAGTATTTCCTTTTACTGGGCTATTCCAGACGCTAAAAAGAATGTGACATTTACTCCCATAACAGGCTTATTTTCATGGTCGAATAATTGCTCATTGATGTGTCTGACACTTTTCTATTTAAGCTTGCTTAAGAAGACTTAGTTTCACAGCGATGATTGGGAAGGTGGATGATGAAACTGGGAGAGAGGAACATAAGAATAAGCTCATGAGACAACTGACTTAAGGAGACCATCCTGTTAATAAAATGTCTCCTTTTCTAAACAGGGATTATGGAATAGAATCTATTTCTTGTATTAAAAAGTCAGGAATTGTGGAAGGTCTGTCGTGGGGAAGAGGGATTAGCTTGGATCTGCCTGGCCCCCGAGGGCAGAACTCTGATGTCAGACGGCTGTTGGCCAAGCTTGCCTCTCCCCCCTTAGCAGAAGAGATGGACTAGGGGAGCAGAAGGAGAGGTAACGTTTCCGGACATGGCCCATGCCTTGATTTGTGTTGCTTGATTATATGGTTTACGAAGCAAAGGGGTTTGGCTTGTGAGAGGAGAAGGGCTGATGAATAATGATAGCAATGGGGAAAAGAAAAAGAACAAAGAAAAGAGTTTCAACGAAACATTTAAAAATACACAGAAGTTCAGAAGGAGGCACAAATAAGCAGACAGTTTGGATCCTACCGGGTTAAATTTAATATACACATAATGAAAAAAAAAAAAGACGTATGAGAAAGAAGTTCGCTTTAGCACCCAGCTGCCTTCCTCTTTCAGATCATTCCATCTTATTAACAGCCCTCCTAGAAGATGAGGCTCAGGAGACATGACTTTATCCACAAAAGGACCAAATCTGTGGTAAAGTGAGGTGCCTTATTATAGTTCCAGACGTGTTGATTTGGGACCAGAGATCACACCAACATGTGTGCTGATGAAGCCTCTCACGGCTGTCCTTTCCTAGATGGAGGAGGTCCAACTCCAGTGCTTCTAATTCCTCACTCTTCCTAGCCTGCAATCCCTCCATTGGCGTGATTAGCAAGGGACAGAAGTCGATGTCAGTGGCTTGAGATTAGAGTCTCACCCTGTGGCCCATCCCCAACTCTGACTGGCCCCCAAAACCCTTTTCAACTACAGCATATCAACATTAATCCTCTTGGAAAGGACCTATGTGTACACAAGTATTTAGAGTAGCTCTTCATGGTAGCAGCAAAGAACTCAAAACTACAGATGTGCTCCACAATTTGGGAATGACTAAACAAATTATGGTGGATGAATATGACCGAATAATATTACACAAGAAGCAACCTATGGAATGATAAAGTGGATAGTGTCAGAGAGACCAGGGAAGATCTGTATGAACTGATGAAGAGGGAACTGAGCAGAACCAGGAGAACAACGTATACAACGACAGCAATATTGTAAAGACAAACAACTTTGAAGGACTGAAGAACTCTGCCCAATGCAAAAAACAACCACAATTCCAAAGGACCAGTGTTGAAGAATGCCTTAAAGAGAAGTGATGGATTCAGGGTGCAAATTTAGCCACAAATCTTGGGGCATGGCAAATTTGTTTTATTTGACTATGCATATTTGTTACAAAATATTTTTGTTTTTTCTTTTTCCAGTGGGGGATGGGGGAGGAAGGCAGGATAGAATATCAAGAAATAAAGGAAGGAAGGAAGGAAGGAAGGAAGACAAGAGGATTGTTGAAGCATCTTTTTTTTGAATGTAGAGAATAGAAGGAAGGCCAGAAAGAAGCACTAATGCACAGGATAACTTTGAAAAGTTACAGGTTTGAAAGTTATAGGTTGTTTTTTTTTACCTACTTAAAAAGAAAAGTCAGTTGCAAATAATAGAAATCTGAAGTTTCATGTACAGTCCTTTTTTTCTCTCCTGTTCTATTATGTATGTGAAAATGTTTATCCTATTTGGTGTTTGTTAAGTTCAAAATAAAAATAATTTTTAAAAAAGTCATCTATCCAAATCCTTACCATCCTTCAAAAACCAGCTCCAACTTTCTATAAAGCCCTCCTGTAATATCTGGCTTGCTTTTCTGACCCAGCATTCATAGAGCTGAGTCCACTTAACTCTGACCTTCAGATTTCGCCCTGCTTCCAGGCCCTGGGACCAATCCATGTCTTAAGCAGAAAAGCAGAGGTCAAGGCCCTAGATCCACCAGGTGGCCCAGCATCCCATCATCCCGGCACCCAGCTCTGTAACCCCCTTGTGCCTTGGCTCTGTCCCTGGGCTCCTGCCCTTTCCTCCAAGTGGCCAAGGGCCCTAGTCCCAGTAACTGGGTCCTGTTCCACTTCCTTGTGCCAAAGTCTTTGTGTTGGTGCTCTGCAGGCAGAACGGTATGACTGATTAAAGCAGTCACTCTAAAGTCAGACAGCCTGGGCTGTAAGCCTGCCCTTGCAACCTACAAGCTGCACAACATTGGACAAGCCATGTTGCTTCTCTGTGCCTCAGTTTCCTCATCTGCAAAATGAAGGGATTGAATTCAATAATCCCTAAGGTCTCTTTCCAGCTCTAAACTCTTTCTCTGAGCCCCTAAATCCTTCCCTCTTCTGCATTTCTTATTACTGTCTGGGGTGCCACCATCCTCCTAGGCACCCCAAGGTCAAACCTCAGTGTTACCCTTGCTCCTCACTCTTGCTTGTCCCAGATTGTCAGTTCTTTGACAAACATCTCACATCCCTCATGTGCATTTTCTTCTCTCCACTCACCCAGCCATCACCTTAGTATGGGTCCTCTTTACCTTGAGCCTGGACCATTGCAATAGGCTTCCACAGTCCTGCTTCCATCTTTCCCCACTCCAATCCATTCTCCTCTCCACTGCTAGTCATTGTGCTACAGTGTAGGTCTGTGCATGTTACAGCTCCTTCCTCAATAAGCTGTGGTGGCTCCCTATTACCTCCGGATAAACTAAACTCCTCTGTTTGACATCTAAAGACCTTCACAACCTGCCCTTTCCTACCTTCCCAGTCTTCTTATACTTGATTGCCCTCCACACACACTGTGATTGAGCCACACTGACCCACTGCCCTTCCTCGTACTTGGCATTCCCATCTCCATGCCTTTTCATTGGCTGTGCCCATGCCTGGAATGATCTCCCTCTTCATCTCCACCGTTCAATTTCCCTGGCTTTCTTCAAGACTCAGGTTAAGTCCCACCTTGTGCAAGTGGCTTTTCCTGGTCTTCCCTAATGGTCTAAGATAGATAGATAGATAGATAGATAGATAGATAGATAGATAGATAGATAGATAGATAGATAGACAGATAGATAGATAGATAGATAGATATAGATATATGTATATATAAAAATAATGTGTGTATAATATGTGTATATAATGTATATATGTATATGTATATGTGTGTGTATACATATATATATATATATATATATATACACATACCTCTATGTCCCAGTTATTTTTTCATGCTTGACTTTCCCTTTAGATTTCAAGCTCCTTGAGGGCAGAGGCTGTTTGTTTTCTTTTCTTTTTTTTTATTATTCTTTGTATCCCTACTGCTTAGCATAGTACCTGGCACTTAATAAAAAATGCTGTGACTTCACCTGTATCACAAGGCTTGCCTTCTCAATGGGTAGAGGAGGGACTGGAGAGAGGGAGAGAATGTGGAACTAAAAAAAAAAATTTTTTAATAAATGAATGTTAAAAAAAAAAAATAAGATTTTTTAAAATGCTAATTGACTGAGTGACTAAATACTCTGGCTTCTATATGATCTGCCCCATGCCTCACTGCCTCCAGGACTAGGGTCTTGCCTGGCCTCTCTCCAAGTCTGCCTGCTGCCAGCTTCCTGGATGCCAGTCACCTTACTGGGTGCTATTCACAAAGTAAAAACAAACAAAAAAAATGAGTCTTTGCCCTCAGAGAGCTTATATTCTACTGGAAAGAAGCAGTGGGCACATAGATAAGCCTATGGCCCAAGATGCCTGACTGTAGGCTCATATAGACCTGATTTGATCTCAGGGGATATCCCCCAAATAATCCCCTCTCTCTCTGGCTCATTGTCCCCACCCAGAATTTACTATGGCAAAATCTCCAAACATATCATCTAGAGTTCATGTTTAGGTCCCACCATTGTGGACAACAGGATTCCAGATTGTGGCAAAAAGTAGATATGATAGTGAGCGATCTGAGCACAGCATCATGTTGCCTTGGCCTCCCTAAGCCCTACCATAGCACTTCATAGAGAGAAGACACTTCAAAGAATCCTTCATTGCTTAAATTGTACTGCGAGCCACCAAAGGAAGGTTAATCCTGGTAGCTCATCCTCCGATGATCTCTCACAGGGAAATGCCAAGGAGGCACCAGCGGGGGTGGTAAGAACAGGATGGTAACTGCCAACCTGCAAACTTGAAACCCTATCCTTTTTTGAGTAAGGTGCCCTAATAAGAACAGAGCTGGTGACTGTAGGATCTTTGAGAGCCCAGGGTGGTTGGCACAGACGAGGGCTTCTCACATGATACTAAGCAGCACCTTAAATAATTCAGTGAGGGGTGATGAAAAAGGCAGAAAGGATAAAAATATATGTCACTGCAGAGCCTTAGGGGGCTGGTAAAAGCCATGCCTCTAATGTGACAAGTGGGCAGGATCCCGCTCAAACTGGGGCCTTCTAGCTGAGCACTGGACAGAGCATGAGATGCAAAACGCTCCCTCTTGCATGGAACTCACCAGTTTGTGTCCTGCTGATCTTTCCCAGGAGCTGCTTTGGTTCGCACGTTGCAGGGCTCGATATGAGAAAGCTCAGATGGACCCATTGATTAAACACCAGCAGTGCTACTTTTGCCATTCTTGGCTGCCAGGTTAGGAGGGCAACAGGAAAAGTTTCCTCAAGGTCCCCCCACTCAATCAAGCAACAAGCATTTCTTTACAAAGCACTTATGTCAGAGACTGTGCTAGTGAGAAGATGGAGGTGGGCAGATGAAAAGCCAAATCCGCCTTCATGCCAAGAATCGACAAAAAAACAGACATGGAGCTCAGTGCTGGCTTAGCTCCCACCTGGACCTGGATACATGGTCTTGACCCAGAAGACTTCAAACCAGGCCTTGTCTATGTATTTGCAAAATGAGACTGGTGCGTTGATGCTACCTGAAATGTTTGCTATTGTAGGAAAGGTTTGGGGTGACAGATATGATGCAAATGATCAACTAGGTGTCCGAGTATATAGACTGCCAAGCCTGGAATCAGGAAGACTCGAGTTCAAATCTGACCTCAGACACTTACAGTTGTGTGACTCTAAGCAAGTCACTTAGCCCTGTTTGCCTCAGTTTCTTCATCTGTAAAATGAGCTGTTATCTTTGCCAAGAAAACCCCCAAGTGGAGCGATAGAGAGTCAGATACGACTGAAATGACTAAATAAGAAAATGATACAATTGTGTTTTGTATGGTATGCACTGACCTTGGGGTAAAGCAAAGCCCAGGATATGCTGCTCAGATTCCTTGTAAAGACACGTGGAATTTTCAAGGTAAAAAGGACCCTGAAGAATGTCTAGTTCAATGTACTTATTTTACAGATGAGGAAACTAAGTCCCTTACCAGTGAAGAAATGTTCTCCCAGTCACACAGTTTAGACTACATGGTGTGTGAGAGTCCTTCCAGCTCCGAATCTTTGATCTTATATTCCTAAAGGCTTGGCTAAGCCCAGAACTCAGGCCTCCTGCGTCTCCATCTGGTGGTATTAACCACGGGCCCCCTCTGATTTCGTCCCATTACTTTAGAGAATGTAAAAAACTTGAGAATGTCCTTTGGCACCATCCCTTCATCTCTTGTGTGGGGTGGGAGAAGGAGAGGGGAAAGAAAGAATTTTGTGGGGGAGGGGGAATGACACACGGGTGAGAAAGAAGGCTCAGAGTTTCAGAACCTGAAGGGATCCTAGAATTTATCTAGTCCTACTCTACACACTCCCTTCCAATTTTACAGAGAAGGAATTTGAGATCCATGAAAGTAAAATGACTTGCCCAAAGTCTTGAAGGAAATGTAGGTTTACCCCAGTAACTCATCCCTCTATGATCTTTGGATAGAGCAAGCCAGAGTCCACATGCAGCATTCTTTCCACGGCACCATGTTGTGCCACTAGAAAACCTTGGGTGGAGTGGCCCAAATCAGTGGAACAGGCCTGAGTCTGAGAGGCAGAAGGGGTGCTGGAAGGAGCTCTGGGCTTAGAATCAGGAAAGACCTGGGTTCCAATTTACTAGCCATGAGACCATCACAGAGAAGCCATCCCACTTCTCTGAGACTTGGCTTTCCCATCTATAAAATGGGGAGGGGGGGGAGGGAGGAGAATGTTTGCTGCCCTCAGATCTACTTCCCACCTCAAGCCCTGTCCCAAATAAAATATTTGTGAAGTGCTTATCACAGTTCCTGACATATTGTAGGTGCTTTAGAAATGATTCTTTTCTTCCTGAATACACAGGACAACAGATAGCCAGGGCAAGGCCTAACACTCAGGGTGTGTGCATGCCTCTGCCTGCTTCTCTTGGATGACAAACCCAACCCGCCATCCCACTTCCTAGCAGCCTCTCTTCTCCAGTAAAGCCCCCACCTACCTGACCAGGTCCATCCCCAGTAAGGCTTCATTCTCAGGGGCTGGCTCTCTGGTACTGATGGCTTCATTGGCGATGCAGACCCCATGTTCGTTGGCTCCCATTTCTGCCCCCCACAGCCAGGCAGGTCTGCTGATCACAATGGCATGCGTCCTCGGGACTTGGTCAATTGCAATGTATGTACACTAAGAAAGGAAGAAGAAAAGAGAGAGAATTCAGTTCAGTTTAACAAGCATTTATGAAGCACCGACTGTGTGCTGGGTACTCTCCTGGAGATTTAAGACAAAAAGGCAATAGATTCTGCCCTCAAGGAGTTTACATTCCATGGGACCCTTCAGCTGCCCCCATCAATGCTTTATTTTGTTCTAAAATGAGATCTAGCTCCACCTACAAATCGATAAGCTTTTATTAAGCACTGACTGTGTGCACCCAAACCGTGAACTAGGCAGAGGACAAACATGGAGATGTTCATCCCCAAAGGTGTCTGCCTTTACACTTTTCTGCAGCTCTTTTGCCATAAACTAGGTATAATAAGATAATATATTAAGGATCCACAATTCCACCAGTGTGAAGATAGATCCCAATCACGACCCCTCTACATTAGAGGCTTACTATGACAGGTGGTCCTTTGACTCTGCTGAAACATACTGCCTTAAAGGACTATATCAATGTGAGCCATTTCTTCTCTCTCTCTCTCTCTCTCTCTCTCTCTCCCTCTCCTCCCTCCCTCTCTTCCTCTCCCTCTCTCTCCCTCTGTCTCTGTGTCTGTCTCTCTCTCTCTTTTCTTTCTCTGTTTTTCTCTTTCTCTGTCTTTCTCTGTCTCTCTCTCTGTCTCTCCAGCTTTCAAACATTCTCCAATTTCCTTTATCTTAAAAAACAAGCTTTGATTTGACCATTCAAACTACCATCCAAATTCTCTCCTTTTAAATTCCAAACCTCCCAAAGCTCATCTACAACCATCTCCACTTCCTATCTAGCTATTCCCCTCTTAAATTCCTGTAATCAGGCTTCCACATTCCCCATTCTATTGAATTTGTTATCTCAATTGTCACTAAATATTCCCTTCTGGGAAATTCCATTTTCCTTCCTCATTTAATCAGTCAACAACAGTGTGAGAGGCACCTGGGATACAAAGACAAACAAGAAGGGGCAGCTAGGTGGCACAGTGGATACAGCTCCAGCCTTGGAGTCAGGAGGACCTGAGCTCAAATTCAGCTTCAGACACGTACTAGCTCTGTGACCCTGAGCAAGTCACTTAACCTCGATTGCCTCACCAAAAAGCAGGAAAAAAAAAAAGACAAACAAGAAATTCCTTCAAGAACCTTAAAGTTTAAAACTTAAGGGTTAATTAATTGTTTCACTATTGGGTTTGCATTAACTCTCATTCAATAAGCACTTATGAACCACCTATTGTGTGCAACTTACTGGAGATACAAAGATAAACAATGCTCAGTCCCTACCCTCAGAAAGCTTACCTTCCAAGAGGAGTGATAGCTAAGTAAAGTCCAGTACTTCATTCTTATTCCCCCACAGCACAAGACTAGGCACATAGTAGGTACTTGATATATTTTGATAATATTTGTTGACAAAGACATAGAAAAACAAATCAAGGTCCTGTAGAGCAGGAGTTCTCGACCTTTTTGTGTCATGTCCTCCTCTGGCAATCAAGTGTGATAAAGCCCATGGACTCCTTCTCAGAACCATGTTCTTAAATACATAGAATTGTCATGGAAACCAATTATAATGAAATATTAAAAAATAAAAACAAATAAGTTCATGGCCCCTAGGTCAAGAACCCTTCAGAAATTGTGATGTCAAAGGGACACTCTGTTCCAGACCAAACAAAGGGGTGAAATAAAATAGTGATCATGGACAGCTTTGTTTACAGCCTGTAAAAGTCTGGAGTTGCTCTTTTTAAACACAGAGTTGGCTGGGAAAGTCTCTGCCGTGGATGGAGTCCAGCAAGGCTGGTGTTATTGAAGAGGACATCTCTAGTCGAAGCCAGAAACAGATGGGGGAGGGAGGGAAATGCCTCTTACAGACAATACATTTGACAGCCCTTTGCCATGAGAAGTCATGGAGATGCTAAATTCCAGTTACCCAGTCTGTTCTGTGACCAAAGGGAAGAAAAGCATGTATTATGGATGGGAGAGACCAGCTTTGGCAGAACCACAGAATGTCAGAGCTGGAAAGACTTCAGAGCCCCTCGAGCCCAGTGGCCGTCTGGTGAAGCCCATGGGTCCCTTCTCATTGAGATATTGAAGAAACAGCCAAAGAGCAGAGGAGGGATGTGATGGGGGAGGATGGTTGGACTGGACACAGACTGAAGTAGCCTCGGAAACTTCAGAAAAAGATACAAGCAAGCACCATGGCCTTAGAGATAGAAGGGACCCCAGAGGCTGACCAGGGACTCCCTGCAGTTTTACAGAATAGGAAAGTGAAGCCCAGCAAAGTTAAAAGACTTGTCTCAGGTCACACAGGGAGTAAATGACAGTGGTGAGGTAGATTATAAGCTCCTTGAGGGCAGGGACTGTCTTTTGCCTCTTTTTATATCCCCAGCGCATAACACAATGCCTGGCACATAGTGGGTGCTGACTAAATGTTTACTGAATTGAATTTAATTGAACTAAGGTCCTCCGCTACTGCATCTGTCTATTTTCAATTATACCATGCTGCCTTGTTAAAACATTTACATACACACACACACATTTATATATATATATATATATATATTTATATATATATGTATATGTGTGTGTGTACATATACACACATTTTCTATATATAAATTATGCATTTACATTTTATATATCATATATAGTTAAATATACTATAATATGTTTATAGCTTTGTGTGTTATTTTACTCCTTATTTTGTAAGGACTTTTATTTTATTCTATTCTTCATTTTATTGGTGGTTAAGTTTATTATTTTTTAAAGTTAGTTAAATTATTTATCTAAAAACTTTTTAACATGTGACCAAGAAATCTGCCTCCCAGGTCACAATGCTGAGCCTCAGCGACGTATTAAACTAAAAACATCCTAATGGGTGTTTTTTTTCCCTTTTAAACTTTTGTTTCTTGTACGAACTCTTTACACCATCATTGGCCATTGCCCACAGGCCCTGCTCAGCCTGCCCGGTCTGAAGCTTCTGAAACATGCAGCCCTTTCCTTGTGAACTCAGCTAACCCTAAAGCTCCTCAGTCACAAGGGAATAAATATGAGTGTGGACCAAGAAACACATACAAAGAACTGCCACAAAAATGAATAGTCCTTCCCTCAGTGTTCCGTAGCATCTTCCCACACCGTTAAGAGCCAATAGCAGGATGGGAAGAGGGGCCAGCAGCCTTTTTGGACTTGGTGAAGGAGCAGTGCAAACTGGAGGCTTGTCAGGGTCCCTGAGGAGAGCAGTGAGCCCCGGCATTCAGACCTAGCAGCGCTAAGGCCCCAGTTGCAGGATTCTGGCTCCAGCAGAGGGGAGAGGACAGCACCCTGGAGGTTTCCAGAAAGCTGACACCCTGCCACAAATTCTGTCTCTTCTTAGGACTCTTGTGCGCCTACTGGTTCAGAAAACAAAGATGGTTTATCATAATCTTGGTACAGAGCAGCCCACTGGGAATGGAGTCGCAAGCAAAGCATCCTTGAAAATGGGAACTTCTCAAGTAGGAGAAATTTCTAATCCTGAAAATGTTCTTATTCAAATTTGTATTGAAAAAGAAAATCTATTTTATTCTTCATTTTATTGGTGGTCAAGTTTATAATTTTAAAAAGTGGTTCAGTGGATAGAATGACACACCTGGAGTCAGGAAGACCTGAATTCAAATCCAGCCTCAGACACTTGCTAGCTGTATGACTCTGGGCAAGTCATTTCACCCTTTTTGCCTCAGTTTCCTCATCTGTAAAATGATCTGGAGAAAGAAATGGCAAACTACTCCAATATCTTTACCAAGAAATTCCCAAATGGCATCACAAAGAGTCAGAAACGACTGAAAAATGAACAACAACAAATATCTAAAAATTCCTTAACATGTGACCGAGAAATCTGCCTCCCAGGTCACAATGCCGAGCCTCAAGATAATAAACTAAAAAACATTCCCAATGGAAATGAGGATCTTAGGTTTTGCTCCATCTTTCCCAAGCTGGACACAGGCCCTCCATTTCAGCCTCTTCGTGGTAGATCAGTCCCACTAAACTGGTCAAACTGTGCAGCTAGCCAGTGGCCACACCCATCCAGTCTCCAACGATGGAGTCAATCAGGGCTTCTGGAGGCAGCCAGCACTCAGGATGCCAAAGGCCACACCCTAAGAATGTCTGGGCTGTTTAAATGCAGCAAAGTGTCCCTGGAGGCATGGGTGCCCTCTCCCCCTCCCCAGAAAGTTTCACTGTTTGTTGGTTTGGGAATAAAGGCCTGGCCCAATCTGAAGCTAGCAATACTTTCTAGCTCTGGAAGCCTTAGGCAAACTGGCTTTGAAATACCTAGATCACTAAGACAAGATCAATTTCTGGGTCTAAGTTGCTGCTCCCCCACTTCTGGACATAATCACACCCTGAAACATCATGATTAATTGATTGCTTCTCTATAAAAATAGCTTTTGAGAAATGATTCAAGTGTTTTTTAAATAAATAATAGGGAGCATCTATATGGTGTGACTATTGTAGGAGATGGTGAGGAAAGAGGCTCGTGGCCCCCAAGTTGGGAGGGGCTGGTCCATGCCCCTCAATTTACAAATGGAGAAACTGAGGCGCAGGGAAATAAAATGACTTGTCCAACTTTGCACAGGTAATAAGCATCAGAGGTGGGATTTGAGCCCAACTCTTCTGACTCTAGGACCAATATTCTTTCCCTTGTATCCCACTAAAGTCTTGAACCAGAAATCAGGAAAATCACCTTTGTGTGTGTGTGTGTTTTAAAATTCTTCTCTATTTTGAGATACTCATGTTTGAGACCATTGAAAGGAATTTTAAAATAATAAATGTAATTTTGAAAAATTACAAACTTAATAGCCAGCAAAAAAATCAAATAATTAAGTCCTTACAACATAAAGACTAAGATCACCCAGAAAATCCCTGACTTGCTGTGTGATTTTGGGTAAATCACTTTCTGGAAGTCAATTTCTCCATCTCCAAAATGACCGATCAACTCAAGCTTATCTCTGAGTTTCCTCCCAGCAGATAAGCCCATGAACACCTGGAGAATGACAGGCAAAGCAGCCTGAAAACAGCTGAAAAATCAGATATGCAAAGGTCATGGCGCACAACAGAAGCCAGAAACACAAAAGGTAATTCTTCTAGAGGAAGTCCTTTATTATTCCATGGGCTCATGACAACCCTGGCCTCCCCCTTACACATTCCAGCAGCCAGTATTCCTGGGCACTATCCAATGAAAGGGGGAATGGAGACAGCGGGACAATACATTTGTTTAATGAATGAAAAAACACTCGTTACGTCATTCCTACTGCACTCGGACGGGTGAAGAAAATCCTGGCACTGCCAACAGTCTGAAGAGCCCATCAAACTTCTTGGTCTAAGGGACAATGACGGGACATGGGATGCTTTAGAAATGATGGCAGGCTTGGAAACCGTGGCGGGTGTGAAGAATCACCACCTGGCCTTTTGTCCCTGGGCAAAGCCATGACAAGCTACATCGATACCCTGGACAAGGTAGTTTTCTGTCTTGATCAGACCAGAGCACTGGGTACCATGGTGGGTGCCACATTCTGGGAAGGACACCGCTGGAGAGTGTCCAGTTCATGCCATTTTTATAAGAACTGGTAGAAGGAACTGAGCATGTTTAACATGCAGGAGAAAAGACTCAAGGAAAGAACCATAATAACTCTTCAAGTCCCTGAAGGGTTATCCCATAGAAGGACTAGCTCTGATCTGCCTGGCCTAAGAGGGAAGACCCGGGAGTGGTGGGTAGAAGCCACAAAGAGCCAACTTTAGGCTTGATGTCAGCAGTAACATCCTAATAATTAGCACCACCCAAAAGTGGCCCGGGATGTCTTGGGTCCTTATTGGAGGTTATCAAGCAAAAGCTAGATGACCTCTCATTGAGTATATTATCGAGAGAAGTCCCAGTCTCTCCAACGCTGACATTCTATGAATGGCTGATTTATTGATGAGTCATCCAAGGCCATATAGAATCACAGAAGACTGTAGGGTCTGGTATCTCCCACCTTCTGCACAGAGGAGAATTTGTGTTGCTATTTTCTCATTGGGGCTTTGAGATCACACAAGGTTGTGGACTGGGGAAAGATGAAGCAGCCGAGGGAGGGGGCTACTGGACACTTCTTGCTGAGGCCCCTCATTCCTTAGAGATGTTTTTGGGCTGGGAGATGGAGGAGGGGTAATTATTAGCATGTTATTCCTAATACTGGTGAAGCTCTAACCAGCTCCTTGTAAAACTGATGAGATACAAGGTGGCCAGAGTCATTCCAGTTGTAACCGGCAATATCACAAGCTGAAATGTTGACATCAATAATATCTCTGCTATAAGAAAGTTGTAGGTTATAGAATTTATGAATGGAAACCATTGTTGGAAATTAGAGCTGATGGTTTTGAGGCCATCAGGACAGGCTCCCCTTAAGGGAGGCTCTCTAGAACATACTCATGGAGAAATGCTGACAAAAACAGGTTTTTGAAGGTCAGTACAACTATGTCCCCCAAATAACGCTTTGTCGATCACTAGCTTGTTTTCTCCCTGATAAAATAATATATTGCCTCGACTTCCTGATATGCAAGTTGGTCAGCCCCCAGATGATAGTATAAGAACCCCCCTCTCTGAAGGACCCTTTGGAGGAGCCCCTCTCCTCCTGTGGGGGCACCTCCTTCCTGCTGAATGGACCTGTGTCTCTGTGCTCCTGAGCGCAGAGTTGCCTGTGTGTGAGTTATACTGTGTCATTGTGTAAGCCTGAGTTATATGTGGGGTTGCCTTCTCTCTCTCCTCTTCCCCCTCTTCCCCATTGCTTGCAACAAGGCTTTGCACTGAACTGATTCATGTGTTATTCTCAGCACCTGAACTCGTTGAGGGCTTGTTTTCCCCCAATCTCTCTGGCTGGCCCACCAGCCTTTTCATAGACATAAGTTGGGTACCTGGACAAGGACTTAACCCATTGACAGGCACCCCTCTACTGGGGGAGCAGGGCACTATGAGCCTAGGTGTAGAAAGCAAAGGTCAACAGAGACCTCCCGGGAGGGACTGCCTTATGCCAAAGGACTGTACAATAACGTTGTTTAATATTTTTGATAACTATATATTAGTAATAGGGCAGCTAGGTGGTGAAGTGAATAAAGTGCAGGCCTTGAAGTTAGGAGGACCTGAGTTCAGGTCCAGCCTCAGACATATACCACCTGTGTGACCCTGGGCAAGTCATTTCACCCTGTGTGCCTCAGTTTCCTCATCTCTAACATGAGCTGAAGAAGGAAATAGTAAACCACTCCAGTATCTTTGCCAAGAAAACCTCAAATGGGGTCATGAAGGATAGGATATGATTGAAAATGACTGACCAACAATGTATTAGTAATAATAACAGCTACCACTTATATAGAGTGTACTACGTGCCAGGCACTGTGCTAAATACTTTATAACTATTATCTCATTTGATCCTCACAACAACCCTGGAAGGTAGGTGCTATTAATATCCTCATTTTACAGATGAGGAAACTGAGTCAAACAGAGATACATGGCTTGCCAAGGAACACTCAGTAAGTGTCTGATGTCAGATTTGAACTCAGGTCTTCCCGACTCCAGGTGTGGCATTCTATCCACTGTACTACCTTGCTTAGAGGTTTACAGACATCTAATAAAAGGTCTGCCAAATTATCAGCATACAAAGAGATCCCAGCTGAAGGGCTGGAGGGGCCTTCTCTAGTCTAACCTTTTCATCTTACAGAGGAGGAAACTGAGGCCCAGAAAAGTTAAGTGACAAGATCATACAGGTCTTCAGTATTAGAGGTAGGACCTGAACCCAGGGCAATTGTGTCCAGAGCCAACGTTCTCTCCACTGTCCTGGCCACAAGTGTCCTGGCCTCTCAGCCTCAGCTAAAACCTCACCTTCTATGATAAACTTTTCCCTGTCCCCCATCACGCTAGTGTCTTCCCTCTGAGACTTCTCTAATGGACCGCTTGTTTATACAATGTTGTTTGCTTGTTTTTTCCATTAGACAGTCAGCCCTTTGGGGGCTGGGACTAAGGTTTGGCCTTTCTTTGTATCCTCAGTGCTTAGCACCATGGCTGGCACATAGTAGGTGCTTAATACATTCTTGTAGACTTGACAATATAAATGTTCGATATTATTATTATTTTAAAAACTACTATAACACTTACGAAAGGCAGTATTTATAGAAAACACACTAGCGTGGAAGTCTTTTTCAGCACTGGAGGGAACAGCAGAATAGAAAATTTATCATAGGATATCAAATATTTACTGTATGCAATTGTAAAAATAACCTCATACAACTCAAGGAGGGGGAATGATTTAAGTTGTGGTTTATCTGAACCATGGAATGAAGAGCAGCGTTAAACAGGAGTAAGGTTTTACTATTCCCCCTGTGACCATGGTCAGTCTGGCTACACACCCCGAAACTGCCAAGGACCTGTCTCAAAAATTTCTTATGTAAGCCACTTGGTTGTGAATGGTCTTATAAACAGTAGGTGCTTAATAAATGCTGGGGGACTCATTGATTGTCTAAGTGGCTTCTGAAATCCCTTCTAACCCCAAGGTTCTGGCCACAGAACCAACCAAAGCCTTTTGAGAAGAGGCTGGTAGACCAAAACTCCAGCTTGAGCAGCCAAAGAACGCCAGCCTAGAAAAGAAGGCTGGGGAGGCCAATGATGCCCTTCGCTCTTTGGTTTCTCCTGACGTGGAATAGACCTTTCAGGGGCTGCTGCACACAGCACCAAATCAAGAACAAGGAAAATAAGTATAACCTCTGGACCTTGGGGATTTGACTCACAAGTCTTTGACCCTGCATCACACCAGACTGAAAACCTGGAGTTGGACAGGGTTCTTCCTCAAACCCAATCAAGGTTTAAAAGAAACATTTAAAAGAAACTGGGATATCCATCAGTCAGTCGATGACTGAGAGTCACAGGACCTGAGTTCAAGCGCCAGCTTTGCCAAATGCTACCTGTGTGACCTCGAGGAAGTCACAGCCCACCTGGCTCTCCATTCTTCACCTCCAAAATGAGAGTTGGACGAGATGACCTCCAAAGTCCCTTCTAGCTCTTGCCCTGTGCCCTACTGATGACCCAGATACCTCGTTGTGTGGGCGATGGGACCCAGGCATCCCCACACCAAGCTAAGAATGACAAGAGCTGGTCGTAATGCACCAGATGCAGGGGACAGCTTTCTCCACGCCCTTCTACTTGCTCTGGCTCCCAGATCACTCCTCCAAAGCCAGGGGTGTCTGTCTGCTGAAGTTATCTCCTATTCCCTCTGGAGATTAAACCCACTTGAATCAGGGATGGATTTTTTTGCCAGCTCCAAAATTCAAAGCAAAATCTCTCCTGTTTCTCAGTCCCACATTCTTTAGAGAGATCTGTTTCTCCTGAAACTAACAACAGAAACTTTTGCTTAGATGTTGATTAAATTTGCACCTGAGGACTTGGGGAATCTGTTCACATTCCTCTTCAGGACACATGGGAGTGACTGATGTACTTATTGGCTACTACTTTTTAACACCATGAGCAGGAGAAATAGTACCAAATAGAAGCCCAGGTGGCAGCTGGAACCAGCACGCATGCTTCTCAGAAAGACCATCACGGTGGCATGAGCTAAGTCAGCCCAGAGGGAAGGGAGGGAGAAAGGTAAAAAGTCACAAACCACAAAATATGGCATGGATCCCACGTCACTCACCTCCACTTTGCTTTCGGGTTCGTGGTCCGCAGCTGCGATATACACAACCTCCTGGACTTCATCTCTGGGCCTCGCTGAGTTCTTCCCAAACACCACCAGCCCATCCTTAGCCCGTGGGGGGAAAGCCACAAAGCAGTAGCTGGGAGGAGCCACAGACATCCTGAAAAGAGAACGGCACTCGCGTGATGAAGCTGGGATGAACACAGAACATGCCATCAGCATAGTACTTTTCTCCAGAATATTTGATCCACTAAAATTATACTAGTATTGAATTGTGTGCACTGTTGGTCATGAAGAAATCCCAGCTGGCAAATGAGAAGGAGCAAAATTGTGGGATAATCAAGACCAGTCAGTTATAAGTAATGCCACTTATCCTTGGGGCTAAAAAAGCCAAGCAGTCTATTGACAAGCATTTAATAGGCACCCACTGTGTGCCAGGTACTGGGGATACAAAGACAAAAGTAAAATAGGCTCCTTCTAGGAGCTTATATTCTATTAGGATTGAAGACATGGATGGATGGATAGATAGATAGATAGATAGAGGGATAGATAGATGTATAGATGGATGGATTGATAGACAGATGAACAGTTAGATGGATAAATGGATGGATAGGTAGATGAATAGACAGACAGACAGACAGACAGACAGATAGATAGATAGATAGATAGATAGATAGATAGATAGATAGATAGATAGATAGATAGATAGATAGATGAATGGGTAGAGGAATAGAAAGATGGATAGATAGATGTATGACTAGATGTATGGCTAGACGGATGGATTGACAGATGGATTGATGGAAAATTGGGTAGACAAATAAATAGATTGATGGCTAGGTAGATAGATAGAGAGAAGCATACAATGAATAAATACAAATTATTGCCAAACAGTTCAATACTAGAATGACAGTGGACATCAGAAGCAGCTAAAATGGCAAAAGGGAAAGGACAAAAAAGAGGCAATCTGTCATCTCCTAGGAAAGCGGGAACACTCCACTTGGTTGTGTCCCAACCCCCACCTGCAGGGCTGGCAGGATTCCATGCTGCCATATGGCTGAAATTGAGGGAGCAAAGAAAGACCAGTGAGAAGTAAAAAAGTTATCTTTTTTTTAATCTTGTTTCAGTTACGCAACAATGAAGCCTCCCCACACCTGGATCTCTAGTCCCCTGAACTGGACCTCTGCGCCAATCGAGGACATCTATACTGGCCAGCCTCCACACATGACTTGTTGGTTCCTCCCTCTGTATATCACTTCAGTCTTGAGCTAATATGCTATGGTGTAGGAAGGCTGGGACTTTAGAGATCATGTAGGGGAACCGCTTGTTTTCCAGACGAGGAAAGAGGCCCAGAGACTTTAGATGATTTGCCCAAGGTCACACAGGCTTTTAAGAAGTTGTTGAACTGAAGCAAGAATCCAGGTCTTTGGACTCCAAATCCAAATGTAGGGCTCATCACACTGCCTCCCACTAAAATCTTAACAATTTCACCTATTTCTATACAGAGTCATAACTTAGAACTCTCCATTGTGGGGAGACAGTGATGCAAAGGACAATCTAACCATGAATGCAGAGTCACACTGAGAGCACAGCAGCCTTCCTCCCTCCCAGAAAGTCCAGCCTGCACCCTTGAAGGAATGGGGGTGGGGAGAGTGGAGGAGATGGGTCAGAGGAGCAGGGCACCGTGGGTAACACTCAAGGGGAGAAGAGGCAGTTAGGGATGGCCCTGAGTGGGATGAAAAAACAGGATCACGCCAATATTGTACGGGTTAGTTGAGGCTACCAAGGTGGGATAAGATGTAAAGTACAGGGGACTGGCCTCCCAACTGCACCAGGGAAGATGCATGCACCCCACAGACGTCAGTACCCTGAGACAAAGCTCTGGTCGCGCACTTCCTAGCTCCAGTTGCTTCTCCTGCCCTTGAAGGCTTATGAAGCAATTTCCTCAGAACTCTGAGAAGGAGGTAGTACAAGTATTATTATCCCTTTACAGATGAGGAAACTGATACTTCGAGGGGTTACGGGAATAAACGTTCACTGACTTGTTGACTTGCAGAAGATGTTCTTGCTCGTGTGGGACCGAGTGACCTCCTCGGTCCCTTCCACCTCAAAGACACTGCGTGCTTGTCGCGCTAAAAGCTGAGCTGGGGATCTTGATTGGCTGAGGGGGTCTGGGATTATTGAATGGACGGACGAGCCCTGGAGGAGGTTGACTCCCAGTTCTGAAGGGAAGGGGGAGGGAATCGTTCCGTAGGAAAACACAGCAGGTGCATTCTGGGTTAGGGAGAAGAAGGATAATCTAAAGCCAAACCTTGGAGAAGAATCATGGGGGACTAAGGACTTGGCCAGGACATCTAAGACAGTTTAGGATGGCAGAATAAGCTGGTGAGCCCAGGAGAGTGCTTCTTTGATTGATATTCTTGATTGTCTGAAAACCTGTGGACATCAAACCTTGATGTCTGTCTCCCTTATAAATAAATTCTGAAGACCGTATTCATGTGGTATGGAACATATATGAATGAATGAGCATTTATTAAGCAGTGCTATGTGTTGGTCACTGATTTTAAAAGAGACAAATCCTGACCTTAAGGATATTACATCTCATAGGAGAAGACATGGCATTTGGATAAACTGGAGCAGGGAGGGGAGCTTTGTTCTGCAGGGTTTAAGGGGGATGGGGACAGATACTGCAGAGGAGATGATGGGATGGCTGGATAGGATGTGAAGCTAAAACATGGTCTGGGGTCTAGAGCCAACCAGTAGATGTAGATGGGCTGAGGGGACCAGTTTGTAGAATTGCCAATAAACCAGATTGAGCCCTGAGGGAGAGCTCCAAAGGTGAACACCAAGTCAGAACTGGGATTCGAGCCCTGATGCTTCAACTCCATATCCATGCCAAGCTTCTTACTCTTTTTACCATGCCAAGCTAACTCACGGGTTGCAATCTGTATTGGTGGATGGAGCTTCTTACCCTGGGAGGCACCCCTATACCAACAAAATGACTGCTTTTTTGTTTGTGTGCTCTCTCTCTCTCTCTCTCTCTCTCTCTCTCTCTCTCCCTCCCCCTCTCTATTTCTGTCTCTGTCTCTTTCTCTGTCTTTCTCCCTTTCTCTCTGTCTCTCTTCCTTTCTCTCTCTCTCTCCCTTTCTCTCTCCCTTTCTCTCTCTCTCTCTCTCTCTCTCTCTCTCTCTCACACACACACACACACACACACACACACACACACACACACACACACATGCACACACACACAGGAATTTTGCTCCCTCTTCCTACTTCTACTTCTTCAGGTATGCTTGGAAAAAAGAGTGACACATTATAGGTTATTTATATCTTATCTACATACATAATCAACATTTTATACTTTCTTGTCCTTGACAAGGTCACATCAATACAAATTAAGCCTCCCCCTCTTTGCCTCAGTGGAAGATGGTAACTCACTATCTCTGCATCTAAGCCAAGGCCTAGCTCTGGAAAAGCTGCTAAGACTCCCATAAGCTCCTTGGCTGCTGCTGACCATTCTGTCAGGACTCCTGCTGCACAACCAAATGTTCTCGGTCCATTTTAATGCAGTGGTGACTGTCGGCAACAGATGCCCAGCAGTTTGTGGGGCTGAAGGAGCTCATTTTTCTGCTGAATACTGTGACCAAGCAGGGACCAGAGGATTTGAAACCAGAGCTATTTCTGTAATGGTCACATTGAACAAGCCTTTGCCTCCACATTTAGTGGTCAGTCATGGATTTGAACGCAGGCCCTCCTCCTCTAAAGTCATTGTTCCTTCCCCTATACCACAGCACTGGCAAAATAAACGCCAAAGGAGAAATGAAGCAAGCTCCCAAACAATCATCCACTCCATTATTTCTGAAATCCTCTGCTGTTTGGAGCTCAAATGCTACATCTGCATATCTGTCATCTCCCTTACAAACCAAAGTAGTGAGAGATTAATTGTGGCGACTGTGAGGCATTTAAAATCCTCCATGAAAGGATTCTTGTGAGACTGAATAATGAAACCACCTAAGGTTGGAGCCTCCTGTAAGTGATGGCCCCAGTCAGATGGGGGAGAGTGGAGAGTGAGAGCCAAATTTTACTAATCTCTTCAGGAAATCTCATAACCCTTATCCTCAGAGACAACACCCAGGCCAAGTGCTCTGGACTTTAAGTACAGAATGAATTTCTAACTTGGAGATTTTTAACCCCTTCATGAGGGACGGAAAGTGAAAAGGACAGGAAGAGAACATCGTCCTCTCTCTTTTCTCACTGGAATCATGCCATATCTATCAAGTCATCTTCTTTCATAGGTGGTCAAACGTCCTTTTTTTTTTTCCAGTTAGGGAGTCAATGGAGTTTCCCACAAAGAACAAGAAAGGCAAAATGGGAGAAAGTAGATTGGCATCATGAGGAAATTCAGGAACCAGAAGGGAAAAAATGCTGGAGAGCATTTGGATGAAGATTATGGCAGTAGAAGTAGAAGTGAGCATGTCATCAAAGCGTAATACAGACCGCCAGGACAGAAGGAAGAAATAGAGGAAGAGTGCAGAAAATCGATCACAAGTCTGGCATACAGAGTAGTATTTTTGTCACTTTCTTGGCAATATAAAATTTTAGAGAGTTGTCTGAGCCATTGAAATATTAAGTGACTTGCCCAGGGTCACAAAAGCAGTAGGTGTCAGAACTGGAACCTGGACAAGCCAACCTCCTGGTCACCCAGGTTAGAAATCCCGGAACTGACCCCCTCACCCATTCTTACTCAAGACTGAGTATCTCTATCTCTCTGAAGATAAAAGTACATGGGTTGCTCATAGGTCCAGTATCACCGGTGATTGACATAGGAGCTTTTCCCTGTTCTGTTTCTGACCTGGGTCGGCTCATCCCTCCTTGGGTACACTGCTGGCCCCCACTCTCAAGGGCTCACCACACTGATTCTGTACTTACTATGGATACTCAATCAGCAAAGTCTACTATAGGTCATCACCCCTAAGCTCAAGGGTTCCACCAGCCTCAGCCTCCCCAGCAGCAGGAATTACAGAAGTATGCCACCATGCCCAGCCTCCCCAGATTTTGGAAGAGCAAATTTCAAATATTCAGAGGAAAGATGGCTAGGATCTCACGGGCTAAGATTGTACAGGAAAATTCAGTCCAAGAAGGATGAGACTCTCTTGGGCA